ATGTTTCCCTTTTTTTTTTTAACCTAATGGATTTAGCATTGGGACACACTGGAAATTTTCAGCTGTCATTGTGCTGTGTGCTAGGGTTCTAACGTGTCCCTACACCTTGAATGAGCTACCTTCAGGCATACCTGCACTTGATGTATCTATTGCTATATATGCTTCAAGATGGAGGCTGTTGGATTTTTAGACACATATAATACTTCTTCTAGTGTCTTGAGGCGATTATGAATGAAAGAGCCATTGAAATAAAAATGAAGTGTGATTTTATTCTATCACACAATGGAGTAAAATAACAATGTAAAGCGTATTATGAACAGTTCCATGTAGATAAAACTATTGTAAAAATGACAAGCGAAGGTTTAAAACAAAGTCACCATTATCTGTCATGGCTGTCCTTGCCATGTGCGATTCTCATGTCCTTCTCCAACTCAGAGTCTGAGAGAGAAAGAGCCGGACGTGACGTTAATGATGATCTCGTCTTGCAGCACCTGTTCCAGCATCTCATCCGTGTGTGTGTACGTGTATGTCAAAGTGTCAATATTAGTGTGTGAGCCTGAGTGTGTGTCCGTCGTCTCATGGACTTTTAAGAGGCAAATGTACGTCATAGTTAGTGATCTCAATACCTTCTATGGAAAGTATTACTGCTTAGCAAAGCCATTTCATATAAGGTAAAGATGCTAAACATATGATGTTCGATGGACAGGAACATATGTATGCTGATGTACCAATGATGTAACCCTTAGCTATATATTTAAAAGATAGTATAGCTTAAGAACATATCAATGTATAATCACTAAACTATATATGTATTAGTGTTAGAGAAGTATACTAAATATACACAGAAAATACGTAATGTAATAGTAAGTCACTTCTAATAACCTTGACATAACTACCAAATACTTTTATGCCTAAATATCTCTAAATATAGTCTACTCAACTTTCAACTGGTATATACTATTTCAGCTTAACTTGTATATATCTTTGGTCTCAGCTATAATTGAAGAATAGTAAATACTACCATTTGTCAAAGAACACATATTAATATTAATTATGACTAATCATAAAAACCAAATATTTTTTGCAAGCTTGCCATCAATATAAATGCTGAATCATAATTTAGATTTAACAGAGGCCCTCATGGATTAGAGACCACACTACACAAAAGGGCCTTGATGAGGCAGTGTGGTTTCCACATATCAGCCTCATTCACACGGACTGATTAGCTCTGTGCCCCGCGTAGGACCTTCTTTTCCTGGCACAGGAATGCACAGGAGATGCATGCATTCCTTTGTTGGCATCTCACTGTTGTCTATTGGGGAACACAGTAGCATGAACATAGCCACTGTGTCCCAATATGACATGGGAAAAGGAGCATCTGGAGGAACACAGTCCCCACCCAATAGTAATCACATGACATGCCTGGGTATCTCTCACTGCATGGAAATCCTGGGTGTCTCTCACTGCATGGAAAAAGATGTCAATCTAGTTTTCTCCAGCAAATGACCTGCTCCACACAGCAGCAGCCTTTTCATGTGACTAGCGGAATATTTGCTCTAATTAGAAAACAGAACCCCTGCTGATAAACTACAATGGGAGGAATGGCACCAAACCTTGTAAGCATCCCTTATATAAACTATGTTCAAATAGTACAAAGTATGCTGTAAAAATACATTTTGTGCACTGTGCATAACACACTACTCAGAACATAAAATTAAATCATCATAATTATTATTATTATACAGGATTTATATAGCGCCAACAGTTTGCTCAGAGCTTTACAATATAACGGGAGACAATACAGCAACAATACAGTTCAATACAAGAGGGATAGGAGGGCCCTGCTCCTTGGAGCTTGCAATCTAAGAGGGAGGGGCTAGTGGTACAAAAGGTAATAACTGTGGGGGATGGACTGGTAGGAGAAATAGAAGGTTCCATTGTTAGCTGAGGGCAGGACAAGCTTCCCTGAAGAGATAGGTTTTCAGAGATCGCTTAAAAGTGAGCATGGAAGGAGGAGACAAGGGAGCTAGAGAGTAGGAGGTCGTGCGAGGAGCGGAGAATACGGTTTGAGTGATATTTGGAGACAAGATCGGTGATGTAATTTGGGACTGAGTTATTAATGGCTTTATACGTTATTGTTAATGTTTTGAATTATATCCATTGGGTAATGGGAAGCCAGTGGAGGGATTGGCAGAGAGCAGTGGCAGATAAGGAACGGTTAGTAAGGTGGATGAGTCTGGCAGCAGCATTCATGATAGACTGAAGAGGGGGATAGCCTGTGATGAGGTAGGCCAATGAGGAGGGAGTTACAATAGTCAAGGTCGAGAGATAACCAGGGAGTGAATAGGTTGCTTAGTGGTTTCAGAGGTTAAGAGCGGGCGTATCCTGGAGATGTTGCGCAGGCAAAGTCTACAAGATTTGGACAGCGATTGGATTTGGGGCTGAAAGGACAGATGGGAGTCTAGGATTGCACCTAGTACCCTGGTATGAGGGGAGGGACTGATGGTCGTATTATTGATCTCGATGGAGAAGTCAGGGGAGGGGCACGGGCTGGAGGAAATAGTATGAGCTCAGTTTTGGAAAGACTGAGTTTGAGGAAGTGGAGGGACATCCATTCTGATATGTCACTTAGTAGTTTAGTAATGCGAGAGAAGACTGAAGGGGTGAGGTGAGGAATAGAAAGATAGATTTGTGCATCATCAGCATAGAGATGGTACTTAAAGCCATGGGAGTTTATCATGTGACCAAGGGAGGAGGTGTAGATGGAGAAGAGAAGGGGTCCAAGGACAGAACCTTGAGGGACCCCTACAGAAAGAGGGAGGGGAGTGGAGGAGCCAGAGATATAGATAACTGAAGGAGAGCTGTGATATGTAGGAGGAGAACAAGGAGAGAGCAGAGTCTCGGAGGACAAGAGAGTGTAGTTTTTTTTTTTTTTTTAGGAGGAGGGGATGGTCGAAAGTATCAAAAGCCACAGAGAGGTCAAGTAATAGAGAGTACGAAGTAGTGGTCATTGGTTTTAGCAGTTAGTAAATCATTAGTGAGTTTTAGTAGGGCAGTTTCAGTGGAGTGGAATGAGCGAAAGCCAGACTGTAAAGGGTCAAGAAGGTTGTTGTCGGTGAGGTGGGAGCTCAGGCGATTGTAGACTAAGTGCTCTAAGAGTTTAGAGGTAAACGGGAACAGGAAGATGGGTCTTAAGTAGTTCAGGTGGTGGGGTCCAGCGAGGGCTTTTTAAGTATGGGAGTGATGTGCTCATGCTTTAGAGGGGTGGGGAAGGCGCCGTTAGAGAGGGAGAGATTGAAGATGTGAGTGAGGGAGCATAGGATAGAAGAGGGTGACCGTAGTCGTTATGAGGGGACAGGATCCAGGGGGCAGGTAGTGAGACGGGCAGGGAATGAAAAGATGGGAGAAAACAAGGTCTAATGTATTCCCATCACAGTGAGTGGAGGACTGTGTCTGTAAGGGACCACCTGGCAGCACCTCTAGCAATCCACTGATAGGGCCTCCCCAGACCGCGGAGTCTAAGTTCCGGAAGAGCACTTGTTCACCAGGGCCCCTGATGGTGGGGATGGAGAGGGGGAGAGGGAGATAGAGGAGAGAGAGAGAGGGGAGAGGGGGAGAGGGAGGGGAGAGAGGGAGGAGGAGAGAGAGAGGGGGAGAGAGGAGGATAGAGAGGAGGAGAGAGAGAGAGAGAGAGGGGAGAGAGGGGGGTAGAGAGATAGAGGGAGGGGAGAGAGAGGGGGGAGAGAGGGAAAGAGGGGGAGAGAAAGAGAGGGGGGAAAGGAGGGGGCAGGGGAGAGAGAGGAGAGAGAGAGGGGGGGAGAGAGAGGGGAGATGGAGAGAGAGAGAGGGGGAGATAAGGGGAGAAAGTGGGGGGAGAGAAGGGGGAGGGGGGAGAGAGAGAAGGGGGGAGAGGGAGGGGGGGGAGGGAGAGGGGGGAGAGATAGAGATATATATAGAGAGAGGGAGAGAGGGGAGAGAAAGAGATAAGGGGGGAGGGGGAGAGAGGGGGGATAGAGGAGAGAGAGAGAGGGGGGGAGTGAGAGAGGGGGAGTGAGAGAGGGGGAGAGGGAGGGGAGAGAGGAGGAGGAGAGAGAGGGGGGGCGGGGAGAGAGAGAGAGGGGGGAGAGAGGGGGGGTAGAGAGATAGAGGGAGGGGGAGAGAGAGGGGGAAAAGAGGGGGAGAGAGAGAAGTGGGGAGAGAGGGGGGAAAGGAGGGGGCAGGGGAGAGAGAGGAGAGAGAGAGGGGAGATGGAGAGGGGGGGGGAGAGAGGGAGAGAGAGGGGGGTAAGGGGGGAGAGGGGGGGAGAGGGGGGTAGAGAGAGAGAAGGGGGAGAGGGGGGGCGAGGGGGGGAGAGAGAGAAGGGAGGAGGGGGGAGAGAGGGAGGGAGAGAGGGGGGATGGGGGGGGGGGGGAGAGAGAGAGAGGAGAGAGAGGGGGGAGAGAGAGAGAGAGAGAGGGGGGGGAGAGGGAGAGACCCCAGGCTCTCGGCAATACCCGAATGGTCAGTCCGCCCCTGGTCATGGGTCGCTGTTGTCTATATGGATGGAATCATTGTATGCTACGCTCAGGGACATTATTATTACACTTTAAATACTTTGACTGCAAGTGGAGATTATTCATGCAGGATTATATGCAAGTACTGAAGACATATATCCCCTCAAGACTGATGGACTGCCTCTATCATCATTCTTAACCGCTAGCCTACAGGGCACTTATACCCCCTTCCTGCCCAGGCCAATTTCCAGCTTTCAGCACTGTCGCACTTTGAATGACAATTGCGCGGTCATGCAACACTGTACCCATATGAAATTTTTATCATTTTTTTGTGACTGATAGAGCTTTCTTTTGGTGGTATTTAATCACCTTTGGGTTTTTTTTTATTTTTTTTTTAAACAAACCAAAAACCACTGAAAATTTTGGAAAAAAAAAAAAAAAACGTTATTTCTTAGTTTTTGTTATAAAATTTTGTAAATAAGTGATTTTTCTCCTTCACTGATATACGCTAATGAGGCTGCAGTGGTGGGCACTGATAGACTGCAATGATGGACACTGATAGGTGGCACTGATGGGCACTGATGAGGAGGCACTGGTAGGTGGCACTGATGGGCACTGAAAGGCAGCACTGATACATGGCACTGACTGCCACTGACAGGCGGCACTGACTGGCACTGTTAGGCGGCACTGATAGGCGGCACGCTCCCTGAACCACGCATGCGCGGGTTAGAATGGGAGGACGTCATATGACGTCCTCCCAGAATAAGAGAACCACCTTGCGCCTGTCATTGGACTATATGGCGGGTGGGAGGTGGTTAAAGACAAACGTTTATGTGCTACCCATATATATACACCGATTTAGGGGCCCATAATCTCATACTTTTGCTTTTTTGCTGTTGACACAATTGCATTCATATTCAGCATTGTGCAAATAGGGCCTTATATTTTTCATGGCCCTGCTCCTGTACATTGCATAATCTAGTGTGTGTGGAGTGCGTATCTATGTGCCCGAGTGGGTGTTATTACATGGCAACGTTGTCGTGTTTTATCTTGTGCAGGGTGGAGGGGTAATTGCATTATTACATACTGGATGTTGTTAATAAATATTTTTCAAGTTGCATAATTGTTCTCTTTGGGACTTATTGTGGGCCCTTTACCCATGTTTGTTTTTTATTACATGTCCTTCTGGTCCTGAGAACACCCCCTTTAATGTTGGTGAGTCGGCTACATAATCTGTATAACATTTTGGCAGTGGATCCCGTTTTTTATCATTTTTGTCTATAGTTCTACCACATTACCAGGGTCTCTTAGCCTGGGATTGGTCAGACTCTCATGAATATGCAGATTGAAGTCTCCACCCCTCTTCCCTTTGGCGTCTGGAAGCTTCCATGGACCTCTAGAGCCAGGTGGAGGTGATAGAATCCCAACCTGCTGAGCCAACCAACCTGATCTCACACTGAACCCACAGTAATTCAGGCTAACTCACTACCATGAACCAAGTGGATGCACTAGTGGGTGCTACAAGAAAAATGGCAGCTTCCAGCATGAAGAAACAGCACTTTACAACACACACTTATTTTGGTAGTATAAATTAATAATGCGGAATGTATGTTCCTTACTAAATAATATTTTTCATCAAGTGGTATGGGTAAAGTTCCACTTTAACAAACTTCTCCTGCTGTAACTATGGCACAGTGCCACCTACAGGATGGGAGACTGCCTACACCTGCCTATACTTCAACATCCCCCCCCTTAACAGATGCAGTCCTTGCTATAAAAAAAAAAAAATCAAAAGAAACCAAAGAACAAAAATATAAAACGAGTTTTCTGAAAACATAGTTAAAATATTTAGCAGGCATCAGTCCTTTATGTCTATCTACAGCTTGGATTTAATATAAAACAAGCCCAGCAACCTGGCTTATTACAGCTGAGAGCCATTTTGGATCAGCGCAATTTCTAACATGTACAGAATCATGTTGAGCAAATGAACATTAAATCTTGAAGGATAAAGCAGAATGCCAGATTAATCGTTGCTTGTCTTCAAATCAGTAAAATCTTGATAAAGATGACCAAGGCATATTTAAAGACAGCACCGCATTATGTAGGGCTAGCACTACAACACAAACATAACTGTGGCAGAAAGAACATTAGAGAGAGAAATGGAACAATCAGACATGAGAGAGAACAGCACAACATCATACTCAGACTGGAGTGCCCTCTAGTGAGACACAAGGATACGGATCATTATTAGAGGAGAGCTCAGTTGTCCCCCAAACTCATTTCTAGACAAATGCCAAAGTGGCACACTTTCTTAATCCAATGAGCTGCAAGCCAGGTCATTCCCCACCCTGAAGTCTGCCTCTTTCTTCACATGAGCTAACCTGCAGGAAAGGAATGACCCAGGCCACAGCTTACTGGAGCAAAAAAGTTCAGAATTCAGCTACAGATGAGTTCTGAGGACACCTGAGCTCAAATGACCAATGGCAAGATCACTAAGAGGATGCCTGTCTGTCCTCATGGAATCGCTCCCTCACTAGCCGAGATAATGAGATGTTGCTCCCATAGCCAACAACTGGGATTGAGCAGTGCTAGAGGCCAAAGAGGGAGCAATTCCATAGAGGTAGGTGGAAGACACTCTGCTGCTGGAGATTTGTGGATAAGTTACCTGACATTAGCCTAGGGGTGCTTTTACACTGCTTTATTGAAAAAACACATTAAAACTCAAAAAACTAAAAACACGGTGAGTGAGCGCAAATCACAAGACAGCAGCTAGCACACAAGGCAATCTCAACACCAAAAAAAAAACAAAATATACAAATGGTATGCAGCGCTAAATAGTATACCAACCACCAATGTAAAGATGGATGAGCAGTAAATTAACAGTCAAAATATGAATAGTTCCATGTAAAATGAAGATAAAATATATAAATGTTAAAATCCAATCCGGCTTGTGGACAAATCCAGTAAATGATTGCGCTTACCACAAAAACATACAAACAGGGCGTTGTATGTATAAGATGGACATTAGGGCCTGGTCAGCAACTAGGACAGCATCCGGTCACCATATGAGACTTCCAGGAATGGTGGAAACCCCCCACGGTCATCTCCGGTTTTACCAGCAGGTCCAACGAAGTCCTCTCCACGCACAGTGCTCATCTGGATCGCTCCTTGGACCGGAGATGAGTTGGGGGGTTTCCACCATTCCTGGAAGTCTGATATGGTGACCGGATGCTGTCCTAGTTGCTGACCAGGCCCTGATGTCCATCTTATACATACAACGCCCTGTTTGTATGTTTTTGTGGTAAGCGCAATCATTTACTGGATTTGTCCACAAGCCGGATTGGATTTTAACATTTATATATTTATATCTTCATCTACATGGAACTATTCATATTTTGACTGTTAATTTACTGTCTCATCCATCTTTACATTGGTGGTTGGTATACTATTTTAAAAAACATACATTAAAACTCAGTTGCGTCTTTGATGCTTTTTCCATTGATTTCAATGGAGGAGTGCTGTTTTGGTGCAGTTTGAAAAGTGCACCAAAGATGCAGCATGCATGACTTTTCAAAATGAACCACACCCACAGCACAGGGATGTGAAGAATCCAAAAGGATTTACAGGGAAATACAGTCTTAGTCCATAGTGTTCAATATTGAGTTGGCCCACCCTTTACAGCTATAACAGCTTCAACTCTTCTGGGAAGGCTGTCCACAAGGTTCAGGAGTGTGTCTATGGGAATGTTTGACCATTCTTCCAGAAGCGCATTTGTGAGGTCAGGTACTGATGTCGGATGAGAAGGCCTGGCTCACAGTCTCCGCTCTGATTCATCACAAAGGTGTTCTATCGGGTTGAGGTCAGGACTCTGTGCAGGCCAGTCAAGTTCCTTCCCCCAAACTCACTCATCCATGTCTTTATGAATCTTGCTTTGTGCACTGGTGCGCAGTCATGTTGGAACAGGAAGGGGCCATTCCCAAACTGTTCCCACAAAGTTGGGAGCATGAAATTGTCCAAAATGTCTTGGTATGCTGATGCCCTAAGAGTTCCCTTCACTGGAACTAAGGGGCCAAGCCCAACCCCCTGAAAAACAATCCCTACACCATAATCCCCCCTCCACCAAACTTTACACAATGCAATAAGTTATGTACTGTTCTCCTGGCAACTGCCAAACCCAGACACGTCCATCGGATTGCCAGACATAGAAGAGTGATTTGTCACTCCAGAGAACACATCTGCACTGCTCTAGAGTCCAGTGGCAGCGTGCTTTACACCACTGCATCCAACACTTTGCATTGCACTTGGTGATGTAAGGCTTGGATGCAGCTGCTCAGCCATGGAAACCCATTCCATGAAGCTTTCTATGCACTCTTGTGCTATTCTGAAGGCCACACAAAGTTTGGAGGTCTTTAGCTATTGACAGTTAGTAACTTCTGAGAGCAACCCACTCTTTCACAAATGTTTTTAGAAACAGTCTGCATGTCTAGGTGCTTGATTTTATACACCTGTGGCCATAGAGGTAATTGGAGCACCTGAATACAATGATTTGGAGGGCTGGCCCAGTACTTTTGGCAATACAGTGTATTTTTTCTTCCATTTTAGCAAGGTAAAAATGCAGTAAAAAATACATCAGTGTGAAAGGGCCCTTAAAGGACAAGTTCACCTTTGGGAACATGTTAACTTTTCCACCCATTTTTAGACTGGAACATGTAACATGTTCCCGCTCTTGCAGCACTTCCCCCTCTCCCTGTGATAGTGAGCTGGGCATCTTCTATCCTCACCTGCTGTCACAGTTTCTGCCCACATGGCCATGTTATCCATTCACAGATTTCTGTGGATGAATGCCCACAATTGCAGTTTTTGAACTGCGAGGGCATTGAGTTGAGTGTTCTCATAGTCCATTGTGCTTCCTTTCATTCAGTAATTGCCAGCCTGTATCGTAGGTACGGCCATAGAGCTACACTGACAGTCTGCAGCAGCAGGACATTACACCCGAAATTTGCTGATCACAGGTGAAATGCTTTACAGGCTCCCAAGAAAAAAAAATAAAAAAATCTATTTTTTTTACCTGGAAAATATGCATTTATAATTTTTAATGTGAACTTATCCTTTAATGTGTTGATATCAGTTGAGTCCAATAAGGATTAAAAATTAGTCACCTGGCTTAAAATAAAGATCCCCATCATTGTGTTAAAGCTTTGTGAATTGAGCCTAAGGCCGGTTATACAGAGTTAATGGTTATGCTTTATGTGTTAATAAAAGTTAAAGTTAACCAAAAACTATTCCACATTCTCATGTTTGAAATTTTTTTTTTTACATTGTGTATTTTTGTAGAGGGGTAATAATGGACTTGTCCTGGGATTTCTATTGAGGAGTGGGCAACCACTGTGAAATGCAGAAGATATATAGATAGAATTTTAGATTATCCCAGAGGATTTTGGGATCAGAGAGCTGTCATCTTGAGATTTCTTGTACTAGTTCAAGACTGCCTAACGGTAAATATATGTCATGGTTTTCAAGTGATTTACTGGGGTTATGGCTTCAGCTGAATGCCATAGCCCTTGTATTCAAATTTTCAGCAGCCACTGCTCTTTCTGCTATAGGTGATCTGAATGGCTGATTA